CGTCTTCAGCGGCTCGCGGAGGCCGGGCATTCCCGCCTCCGCCAGGCCGCCCAGGCCGAATGCCGCGAGATCCTCCTCCGGGAGCTCGAGGCCAGCCAGCGCCAGGCCATCGTCTCGCGGGAGCGGCGGGAACGCGCGGCGCACGCGCGGCGGCGGGACACCCACACCACCCTGGCGGCCCTGACCCACCATGAGCGCGAGAGACGGCAGTGCCTCACGACCTTGGAGCGGATGGAGCGGATCGGCCTCGTAGCCCAGGCCCACAAAGACGAGAAACTCGCCCACCTTTGTTCGCGTGAGGCGTCCTTACGCCAGACTATCCTCTTCAGCGAGAGTGGCGTGCGGAATGGCCTCCTCGCGGCGCATCTCGAGTTTCTTCGGGAGATTCAGTATGGCGAGCTCGCTGTACGACAGCTGTGGAACGCCTTTTGCCAGTCTCGTGAAGTCTTGGAGAAAGAATGGGCCATAGGGATGGAGATGATCCTCGACGTGGCATCGTCCTGTAGGCGGTGTTTTATTGAATTCCTCGGGCAACGCACGGCGATGCTGGACTCGGCAATGAAGACACTTGGTGATATCGTCGAAGAGGAGAGGGATGCAAGGCACCGCATCCAGGACGAAATGACTGAAGAAAGCCACTGCATCGACGAGCGCACGCGGCTCTTTTTATGGCAGCGAAGCGGGCTCGAGAAAATGGAGCTGTCGGTTCGCCAGAGTATCGTCGAAGAAATGAAGAGTTGGCTTCAGCAGCTACATGTTGAGTGCTCGCGGGCCAGGTGGGAAGTAGAGGAAGCAATCCAACGCCTGAAGGAAGAGCGTGAACGCGCGCTGCAGAACGCACTAGAGGCCCTAAACGCCATTGCCCAAGAGGAGTCGGACGCGTTCGCGAACCTTCTAGAGCGTAAAACCCGCGAACACGAGAAGCTACTTTTATGGCTCGAAGAAAAAGAGCGCTCTCAAGCTAACCTTGCCCAACGCTTTCTTGCCGGAAGGGAATACATCCTAAATGAAGAAACGAGAGCTCGACAAGATCTTATGCGGGATCTCGAGAAGGGTGAAATGAACATCCTAGAATGGGTTGCCCTGCAGCAACGCCGCCAGCAGGAGCTATGGGCGGAGGCGGAAGGGGAGAAGGTCGAACTCAGTAAGCGGGAACACGAGCGGCGTCTTCACCTGATGTTTCGCATGGCCGGTGAGGAGGAGTCCATTCACCGCCTGCTGCGCTTCCAGCACCTGGTGCTTCAGAAGCAACTTCACGAGGAAGCAACCGAGCGGCGTCTTCTGGTCCAGCAGGAGTCCGTCGACTTCGACCTGCTGGCATGGCTTTTCGCGACGGAGCGGGAGGCCCACACCGCCCGGGGGCAGGCGCAGCTCGCGCAGCGGGCTGCCCTGGAGGAGGGCTGCCAGTCCTCGAAGGCCCGCATCGCCGAGGCCGAGGCGGAGGAGCGGCGGCGGCTGTGGGAGGCGGCGGGGTCGGCCGCCCTGCGGCACGTGGAGTCCGAGGCGCGGGAGGGCCTCGCCCGGCAGGAGGGGGAGGGCCGCGAGGCGCTGACCGCCCACATCGTCCACACACGGAAACAGCACAACCGCGAGGTGGGGCCGAGCCTGGCCGCGCAGCGGGCGGCCCTGGAGACGACGGAAAGGGAAGCCCGACTCGGTGTGCGGCAGGAGGCGGAGAAAGGATACGAGGCGATGTACCGCTCGGAGCGTCAGGCACAGCTGGAACTCGTGTTGGAGGCGGAGAGGCAAGTCCATGAAAGGCTGTACGCGTTCCAGGCGTGTCAGTGTGAAGATGCGCGGTCCTACGACGAACAGGAGCTGCTTCCCGAGCTCGTGGCGGACGAAAGCGCCAATCTGACCCCGGTGGTCTTCAACACCGACACCGGATACGCGTGCGATATGAAGCTTGCATTCATGCTCCGTGTGCTAGGGAACCCCGCCATCGCCCGATCGTCCCTTTCTAAGGAAAGCGTGGATTCCGCCATACAAGCCATTGACATCGTCAATGGCCAACGTTCTAGGCTACAAGACGAGCTCAAGTGCGCAGAGAAAAGCGCACAAAATGCGGCAAAGCGCCTCTCCCAGGCAGAAGCCACACTGACTGAAATGAAAGAGAAGAAGGAGACTTACATGGCGAAGCAAAGCAAGGACGCACAAACCCACGAGCGCAGGCTGGCGATGGACAAGTTGGAAAGAGATCGCGGTGAAGAAGATATTGCGGGCAATCGTCAGCTGCTGGAGGAAGCACTTTCAAAACTAGAAAGCAAAAAAAAAACCTTAGAATTACTCAGGACTTCCATCAACAAACAGTATGGTCGGTAGTCGCTGATTTGCTATTATTTACTTTTCGTTTCTTTTTTTAGAATCTCAGACTTTAGATACTCTTTCGTTTTGTGATTACTGTTCTTTCATTATGGGTAGTGGTGGCGGCGTTGATCTTGTTTACGGAATATCTGTGAATAGAGCTGATTTCTGCTACCCACACACCGATCGATGACTTTGAAGAATAATATTTTTAAGCATATAGAACTCTAAATGTTCTCATATATATATATATATATATATATATATATATAGTGAAGTGTGCTTTGTCAAACTTTGCTTTGGCCCTGGATTGGCGCTACCAGTTACAACCTATTCGCTGAGGAATTAATCCGTCACGCACAATATAGAATTTCACTATCTATATCCCTTTTTTATCTCTTTTCATTTAGAACGCATTTCCTTTCGTTTATTTGATTACATTAACTAAAGTCATCATATTTTGAAAAAATTGATTCCGTTTTTGATGTCCAAAAAGTTAAATATTATTGTTTTTGGCGCCACGGGCTACACTGGCAGGCTGACCTGTAAATACTTGAACCAGTTGAAGCCCAGCACGTGCACTTGGGGGATTGCAGGGCGCAGCAAGGAAAAGCTGGATGAACTCGTAAGGGAATTAAAGAATGACCAACTGCCAAGCTTCATTGTGGATCTCACCAAACCGGAAACTATCGACGCGATGTGCAAAGAGACGGTCTGCCTCATATCCTGTGCCGGTCCCTTCATCCGCGTGGGCATGCCCGTCGTGGAGGCGTGTGTGCGCCAACAAACCCACTACATCGATTCCACGGGTGAGTACCCCTTTGTCCGACTGGTATCCGAGCGCTTCCATCACGAGGCCAAGGAAAAGGGAATCGCGCTGGTGTGTTCCTGCGGCTTTGACAGCGTTCCTTCGGACCTCGGGAACTACGTTGTCCACCAAGAAGCCAAAGAAACCCTAAAGGAGGTTCAATCCTTATACGAAACAAAGATTGCAGGGCTCTCGTCGGGTACCATGCATAGTATGCTGGAAGTGTTATCCTTCGCGAAGGAGGAGGATTTATCCCCCTGCAGCTTGATCCCCGAAGGGGCGGTGCGGCCCACCGCGGCCGATACGCAAAGTGGAATGTCGTACAACTCGACAGTGAAAAAATGGATGGGTCCATTCGTTATGGCCCCAACCAATGAACGCATCGTGCGGCGGAGCAACGCCCTTTCAGGGTCTACCGCCAGCTATTTGGAGTCGATGGGGGGAAACTTCTTCGAGATCGCCTCCTTGAACATTAAAAGCAGGATCCTCAAACTTGCCATGGTCATTCCGTTCACACGAAACCGTATCATAAAGCGCTTCCCAGTGGATGTGGCGCATGGGCCTAGTGAGGAGAAAAAAAAGACGTCAACGTTTAAATGTACTTTTGTGGGGATCACGCAGTCTGGAAAGAAAGTTGTGACTGAGCTCTCGTCAGATATTGATGCATATGATATTACCGGTGTATTTCTGTCTGAGTGTGCCCTCTGCGCGTGCAATATGGCTAAGAATAAGCAAATAAAGGGAGGTGTGCTCACACCTGCCTTCGCTTTCGGGGAGGAACTTGTGAAACGCGCGCCGGAAATTGGGGTAAAAATCTCAACGAAATTTGAAAATCAAAAAGAATGAAACAAAAAAATTCTTCTTTAATCGTCCATTTAGCTAATTTCAAGCCCTATAAAAAAAAAAATTTATTACGAAATACGTATCTATTTGCTTATCATGGGCTATTGAGGACACATTCAAAAAATGTGTCCTATTTTCGAAAATACAAGATGCAATTGTTACCACTAATCTTATTAATTCCGTTATCATAAATGTTATTCCCATTATTGATATTAATATTATTATTACTACTACTACTAATGCTATTACTACTGTAACCAATATTTTTGTTGCTTCCATTATTGCAATACAAACATTGAAGTTGGCTAATGGATTTAGTTTTGGACATAATGAAATCCTTAATCATGGTGTCAATTTTACAATCAATTGAGACACTTTTAAAACTCCATCTATTCAGGTGAAGTTTATGAAATTGTCAGCTGGTTGTAAATCCCTCTTCACACACCTTTCTGTTCCACTCCTAGATTCAGTTCCAAGATGTGTGGCAAGGAAGGAAAAATTCTACAGTTTAAAAAATAAATCACAAAAATCAGCTCTTTGATTTGGTATAGTGCGAATAGCCTTTTGCGATGTACGAGGTTAGCATCCATGATTCAACGCGTCTCCTTCATGTGTCATATTGACACCCGATTACAGGACACAAGTCTGTCTGGTTCTTTTGAACAAAAACTTGCAAACCTAAAAGAACTTCAAGGATCATTTAACATCAAAGAATGATGTAAAGAGACACACGCCCAAAGTTACGCACTATTTAGAGTAAATAAACCTTGTAGTATAGATGCGCTCTCCATCGTCTAATTGCATCACGCGTCAGCTTGCTCAGTTCCTTATACGACCGCAAGCCGTGGAATGCCAATGATTTGGTTGTAAGCCCCCGGACATTGTTTTGTTGAGGAAAACTTGCTGTTCGATTAGGTGTGGTTGAAATTATTGAATAAAAATGTCAAGTAATACGATTCCCTTGGGTGCCTAGTCTAACCGTATAGGCAACATTGCTTTGCAAAGCAAAAGGAGATTCTCAGACCTCCCTCACACTATGTGGTGAGCCATCCGAACATATCGCTGACGATCCCTTCAGTCCATGTGAATGCGATCATGGAGGGGTTCGGCATCTACAAACCCTCACCGGGGGGCGTGCATCTCTCCCTCTCTCTAACATCATGGCACACTGCAAAGCCCTAAGGAGTGGTGCTTGTGAAACCCAAAAGAGCCTATTATTGTTTCATAAACTCAGGTAAAATATGCTGGTGAGGCATGCAAATGAGGTTTCCCAAAATATGTCTTTTGTCTCACACTTTTTTTTCTCATGATTTAGTAATAAATTAGCAGTCGTATCGTAATTTTATCCGGGTATATGTATTTAAGCGATGGGCTCAAAAGCAGAGTACATCCGTTATGATCGTCAAATACGCTTATGGGGTAAAACTACTCAGCAGCGCTTGATGGAAACTGAGGTACGAATGTTAGATCTACAAGGCGTGAACGCTGAAATAGCGAAAAATATCGTCCTGGCGGGCATTAAATCTTTAAAGGTGTACAACACCACTCAAAAGATCAGAGCTGCCGAGTTGCATAATAACTTGCTTGTGCAAAGAAGCAACGAGTCCATGACCTGCGAAGAAGCGGGGGTTGAAACTCTGAAATTGCTCAACCCTTATGTACACATCACTCTGAGTAATAGTGATAAAGGCGGCACGGAAGGCCTTGCGGGGGGCCATGGCATCAGCATCGCGCTGGTACGCGATGTTATCGAATTGAGCTCAGTCGTCGCGCAGTGTGGTGACTTTAGTGACGTTGTGGTGCTGAGTGTGCAATGCAATTCCTGTATACTGACATTCTTCTTATATCGTGATGAAATGATGACGATGGAGCAACAATGGCGGCGACTTGTGGAAGACACGACCTGCATTCAGAACAAACCCGCAGCGTACCAGAAGATGCTTCTCGCCCTTTATCTAGGGAAGTCTTCCCCAACATACGTCCAGCTGCTAACGAGTGCCATGGAGGCGGTTGAGCAATTGCAGCTCGGGAAGATGAGTGCAGATGAGATGGAGGAGGTGCTGACCATGAAGGGGCGCGACCCCGGCCCAACCACTTGCACCCTCGCGGGGGCCTCCGTGGCGCAGCACCTAATCCGCCATGTGGGGGAGAGGGGGGGCGAGCGATCCTGGCGCTGGATGATTTGCCGGGGTGCCTCCGAGGTGGAGGTGGGATTGGATTAACTACGGTAAAATGAAACTCACCATAAATTTAAAGACTCTGATGCACACGGCGTCCCGCCCTAACATGCCTCTCCCCCCTCCCCCCCTTTCCTCGATATTTCTTTCACTATAGGACAAGGGATGATACAATATGGCGAGGCGGACGCGCTCAGTGCAAAACTGAACGTTTGTTGCATCAGCCTAGAAAATTAAGAGGAAAGCGAAATAAATACAAGACATCGTGTTCTATACCATTTTATCAGTAAAAAAAACAACAACCAATTGGTTGTTGTTAAAAAATGTAGTGTGCTTACGATAAATATATTTGTCTCAATATAAAAAGAGAGAAAAAAATATATAACCTCACACCGATAATAACAGCTTAAGCTGCTCTGCCTCTTCCTCAGAAAGCTGCGCAACCTCCTTACTTACACTTCGCGCAAGTTGAGCAAGCTCCTGACGAGCCACTGGGTGGTGAACCATGAGAAACCCAAACGCATCCAACATTGCCCGTCCAGCTGGAGCTTCCAGCTGTTGCTGCTTTGCCAAAGACACACAATGGTTTCCCACAGCCTGTAAGAGTGGCACGTGCCGCCAACTGCCACTTATAAATAAAGAACACAGCTTGATTACGCTATTACTGGTTAATTGCTCTGCGTTCTCGATAACGAACGAGGCCAGGGTTTCTGTGTTTTCATCATGTCCAAAATCGTAGTTCATCTGCCATGATGCATTAAGGACGTCCACTACGTCATTAACGTTCTGAATACTTTGGATTTCATGTGCGATATCTCGCAGAAGGATCTGAGCCACCGTTTTGTTCTCACTCTCAACATGCCCATACGCTTTGATCAATTCACACTTGTCGGAAAGGGTGAATTCGCTTGAGCGAGCGACAATTTGCTGACCCATTTGATCATAGAAGTTGTCGTTCAACAGCATCACACGGCTATGTGACAGGACTGAAAAAAATATATCATGCGTGGAAAGGCCCTTCACATTTTGAACCAAAACTTGCGTGAAACGATCGAAGAGGGGCTTGTCAAGATATTTAGCCATCCCAAAAGCGTGTAGAGCAATGGTTATAGACTCGCGATTCATTGTTGCCCTCACTGCACGCATAGAAAGCTTGCCTGCAAAGACATTGTACAAACTACGTTTCGTGCAATGTAGACGCGCGAAGCCGTCCAACATGCGTGCTATGTCAGGACCGCTCCAGAAAAGATTCACGTTATCGACAACATAATCGGAGACACTCTCCATCACAATTTGATGGCTTAATCTTTGGCCTGCGTGGCGCAGTTGTCCTATCCCCCACACACAGTGCGCGATTTGCGCGGATCTGAGTCGGTCCAACTGATGTGGTAGCACCTCCACAATCTCGTCAGTGAATCCTTCAGTAAGGCGCCCGTAGGAAATAAAGCGACAAAGATCAACATATATCTCTGGTTTAAGCGCCAGAAGGTTATCAGCAATGAACTGCAGTAGAGTTGGGGGAAAGGGGGTGAAGTGGCCCTCTGTAGCCAACCGCTTATACTGCGTGCAGTATGATATTAAGAGACGAGCTATAGGGGAAGGATCGACAGCGGAATCGCAGCTGGTGCTTTGGGAAACATCCATAAGGAAGCCCACCAGTGCCGCTGTGAAGCTTATGTTAGTTGGCTCCATGACCGGTGAAACAAGGTCGATTGCATGTATAACAAGCGAGAGACGCAGCCTCTTGTTGAGCACGTGCGGTATGAGGACGGTTTGAATCTGAGAATTCATCTCATAATTCTGAGCTTGCCTAGCCAGCATCCCGGCAGCGATGAGACACTCAGGTGTGCATGAGTTGACCTCGCTTTCCACGTGATGCAGGAACTCCTTCCCTAAGCCCTCCAGCTCAGGTGCATTGTATTCCGCCTGAAACGCAGCAATCTCTAGTAAACCCTCGTGTCCGTCTGCGCTGCTATGCTCATCTGATTGGAAGCACTGGTCCAAAAACGCCTTAAACCTCATGGCCAGCTTGTCCATTAGCTCCAAGTTGCTCACGTTGTTTTCGAGCTTCAAGAGCTGCATAATAGCCTTCGATTCGTTATTTGAGAACTCTTTGGATAATGCGGCACGATCGAGTGCCAATTGGACAAGCGCTTTATCCGTGTCAAGTTCTAGCGTTTGGATAGCCGCTGAAATAGTGTCGATAAGTGGCTGCAATGGCGAGCTGCATACGGCAACAATTCTTTCCACCAAACGACGCTTTAACAATATCTCTGCTGCCTCAAATGCTTGAGGTCGATCGACATAACGCGATAGTGGCAACTCGAGTGCACCTGCCAAATCCAATAATAACGGGAGCGGTGCGCTGTTAAGAACGGAGAGGTCTAGGTTGCGCATGGCCATCTCGGCGGGAATCAGTAGCGCTCCCTTTCTATCCCATTTCGCAGCCCTTAGAAAAGCAGCCAACCCCCTCAAAGTAAGGGAACTGGCGACCGATGGGGACCGTATCATAATGACATGCGGAACCTCGCTTTGACGTGCTAGAACACATGCCGTATACGCCACATGATCTGGCTGCGCGTTATCCAGCTCCTCTGTGAGACTGTGCAATATGATGCCCGGAACACGTCTTCCATTGACAGCCTCTGTGTAAGCTTTCAACGCGTTGGAAACTTGCTCTAAGCTGTTGCTGGACTCAAGTTTGCTGTTCAATGCATCGAGCAGGCGGTGAAAACGTTGCGTATCAGCATATGCCACTTCACTGAGCTTGCGCATACCCTCCATGTTTGTTGCATCCATTTGCTGTATTACGTGCAGCACTACCTCTTCGAGTGCCAAATAAGCGACTGGATCTTCAATTTTGTAAAAGCTCAACAGCTCCAAACATTCCACCGCGTCCTTGAATGAAATATCCTTGTTAGTTATTAGAGAACCATTAGCCTGAATTTTGTCGTGGAGAAAGAGATACACATGCGCGCGTACTCTCGTTGCGTCCCATACATGTTCGCTGTCATTACTGCAGTTCCCATAACTCGTCTGAAACTTGCCCAAGATAAACTGCCTGTGTGCGACCCAGCTGCCACAAATTGTGTGTACAAAGGATTCATACTTCTGTAGTAAGCTCCGCCGGTGATCTTCACTGAGACATGCCGCCTGCAGTTTGGCGAGGACGATGTCAACTGCCTCATTGTGCCCTCCAAGATAAATGTGGGCCAAAAATGCAAAGTGAAGAAGAGTTTCTGGGTGCTCTTTCGATCGAAGCAAATATTTGGCATGATCACGGATGAATGTGTAGAGTGTTACGTTAAAGTATTGCTCAGCGCAAATAGCGGCGGTGATGACACGCATAAGTTCCGTTAGACGAAGTCGTCCTCGAGATTGATGAATGTTTTCGAAACCTTGATGAATCTGCTTAGACAATTGCTCTACTAGCGAAGGGGAATGCCATCGCAATGTAGATGCCCCACGGCTGATCATGCCGAGCTCCATAAAAGTGCACTGTGGAATGAGACGAATGCACTGGGTTACCAACGCAGCGGCATCCGTTTCCTTGAAGTCTAGCGCATTAACTGAAGGAGGATGCGATGCGGTACATGGAAACAAACGAAACGGTTTTAGTTGAGCTACGGCTGCAAGCGACACGCACAACTGTTCCTTAGAGAGCGAAGACGCTATAATAGGTGTGCTGAGACGTTGAAGCAGCCTGGGAATCATTAACTAGACGTTGGTCGAGAATCAATTATGCTGTTTCTTTTTACACTTTCTTTACTGCCGGTATTCTAGAAGAAAAATAAAAAATGTCAGGGAAAAGACTATTCATACACATTTTCAAGAGACATAACTTGAAAGACTCTTCCTATAAAAGCAAGTAAATTTTTTTTAGATCATGTGAGAGTAAATACCAGATTTGTGGTATATATCCTTGAAAAAATACACACATGTACCCTTCCTGATAAACATAATCTACAAAGGGCATTTAGAGAAATAAATGTGCCCTTTTAGTATTCCATTCGAGTGATAATATGTGGTCGAGGAACAATAACAATGATGAATAAAGTCTGGTGGAAAGTTAATTATATACTCATTCCCAAGTGGCACACCACCGTAGTGGTCACCAACGTTTGGTATGGATGACGTTGACCAGTATTAACGGCAACAATAATAACAAAAAAATATCGGGAGCCATGAGGCAGAAAGACACAGAGATTTTTGGGATCTATACGTGTGATAAACTATGAAATCTAAATGTCCTATACAAGAATGGGCATTGTTAATTTCTACCTCAATCAGTATCTCTGAAGGTAGGGTTTACTTATAAAGGCTTTGATGATGACGGAGTTGGTCCGCCGGTCACAAATAATGGTATTATGTGCTTTCATAACTAGGTTCTTATCTTCAACTACACTTCTGGATCTTTGCGAGACTAATAAGTCTTCGTTTTTGTACAGACTAAAATCCACATGATCTCGAGTGATTGAATATATTCTTAGTTGAACCTTCTTCCGTCATTCACGTTAATGCAAAACTCATTAAGCATTAACGTGAATGACAGTAGAATGTGGTAGAAATCTCATAATGGGTTGAATATAGTATGCAATAAAGAATTTACCTTGGAAAGGAAAAATAAATGCTGCACTCAAAAATTATATGCAACACTTGTAAGGAAAGAATGAAAGAGTGAGGAAAACAATTACGTATCTAAAAGTATTTATTGACCGATTCCATACTAGTAAAAAAGTCAAATACAGTTGATAGCATGGAATAGTGAATTAAATAGTTAAGAATATGATTTTATTTAAATCATTATCAAGCGTGCATAAGCTGAACATTTCGCTCATACAATAATTTTCACTCGTGAAACAAAATTGTAGGCCTCATTGAACACAGGGTAAGGAGGTGTACCTAGAACGAGGAAAAAGTGCTCCAGAAACACAATTGTCATGAATAAGAAAATTTTTTGGAGAATACCATCTCGTTTAGTTAAAACCCTTGAAACGCTTTAGAAAAATAATTACACTTTTTTGCTAGGCGACACCTCCAAATTGGATGCCCCTCTTCTCACAAAAACAAAATAAAAGTGAACAGCAGCGGTCATTACTCACCCAATGCACATTTGTGTTTCCTTGTGCCACTGCTTTCGAGCCGATTTGACAAAAGCAGCGCTGTCACGCAATTGGTCCAATTCGGCGGTGGAAAGGTTGACCTGATTGTGTTCTGAGAGGTGCGACACAAGAAGTGAGGCGGTGTCGATTGATACCAAGGCGTCACTTTTATCGAACAGCGCGAACTCCTGGCCCAGCGAGGACGTGCATAGATGGTGAACGCCGACCTCTAGGGTCTTACCCATCAGCTTGGGTGAGTGTACGGCATCACACAAGGCAAGTGACAAACAGGATGTCGGAATACCACACGATAACGCCGTCTTCAGTGAGGTCTCAAGCCAACGTGGGGTGAGGCCAGCGGTTCCCTCCTCTAAAATAATCTGCGTGCAACCACCATCAGCACTCAACAAAGAGGCCGCATGCTCTGAGACACGTATAGGTGGAACGTAGTGGCCTTCGAACTGACAGGTTAATCCGGACCGCATCCATGCACGCCAACTAACATCAGATGAAGCATCCATGCTTTTAAACATATCCATTACTTTTTTGATAGAATCACCGTAGTAAACTTCAATTGGACATCGAAATAAGAGCCTGGAGCAGAGTGGGCCACTAGGGACTGGTATACAGAAAGCGCGATAAGAAGGATAGCGACTGAGAATGTCGCCAATCTCGCTACAAGAAGCTAATACAACCAGACGGTGATCTTGTGTCAGCACTTTCCACTCATTCTGTGACTCAGTGGCGGTATTGCGCTCCATCCAGTGTACCATGCCTGCTGGAACTAATACCTCCGCTGCCCCAGCAACCAAAAATGATCCCATAATGTAATCCAATAAAAAACGGATAAAGCGGGGCGTGGGCGAGATGCTACGGGGGGAACACCAACGCCATAAGGCAACTGGCCCACATTCTAGTAAAGATGCCGTGGCAGACGCAGGGGCAATAAGTGACTGGGTCATGAGGAATCCCCTGTTCTGCCCTTATTTTCCCGATATGTATTTCCTTGATGGTGCCTCTCCCTGTCCCACCTTCATTTCAAGTCTAGTAATTCATTGTGAAAAGCAAAGTACTCATGGTAAGCCTGCAATGAACCTCTTGTTGGGTAAAAAAATATCATAGCAAAGAAGTAACAAACTTGTTTGCAAAATATTGATAGCAAACAAAATGCTCGTTAATTTTAGTCTATTACGAAATTTTCTATTTACTTTTTTATTAAAACATGGTGTGCTCACTGAAAGAATGAATAGAGTTTTCAACTTCAGTCGGCATGAGATTTTGTCATCCCGCACTTGCCACGAATGCAATTTTGTCTCCAAAGGTAAATAATAAAGAAACCCCAAATCAGAATTTGTAGTTCATACGCTAACACAAATAATCTTGATGCCCGGTTGCCCCCGTGAATTGAAGCTAAAACAGCTAGTGCAAAGACCAAGACAGGGATCGCCATCAAATATTTCCACCACTGTCTGTAGCTTGTTCTATTTAGAGCAGGTGTCACACACCAAAGCGACATCAGGGGACACCATCGCCGCGCCACACTGCATACCCAATACATGACAAAGGGAATTTCGCACTCTCCTAAATCATGAACTGGTTTGCTACAAGCCCTCATAAGTATTATGGTCTGCATCAATAGCCCCAAAACGGAAAGCAGAGCCGTCCCCACACCACAGCGTGCCGTAAAGTCATCCGTGACACGGACAACAGTAAATGAAAGCCACGCACAGAAGCTGCACGATAGTATAACAGAGAAAATAAGCGGGACTAGAATCCTGTATGAAAAACTCGAAAAGCTCTCACCTACTTGCCAGCCTTGTGGCCAAAGCGCCTCCTCTGTTGCAGGAAAGTCAATTGTAAGGTGACGATCCATGTTGGTAGCGTATTGAATCAAGGAATATAAAATAAAAGCAGCCCCAAGCCCAAGCGGATATTTAAATATCTCCATAACTATAAGGTGTGAATCAAACAATTCTCCTTCAGTACTTCTAGAGAATTTGGATAGTTCATCAGTTTTGTAGTTCGTGGTAACTTCCTCGTCCTCTGGCGATAAACCGCGTACCCATTGGGAGTCGTGGTCTTTCTCCTGAAGGTTATAAAAATAAGTATCAGGATCTTGCACTACCGAAACATCTTCACCGCTTTCACTCGCTCTACTAAGATTAACAGACCTCACAGAACCGTGTGAGGAACCAAGCATACCAACTGTGTTAATATAGGTACTTAGGTAAATATAATTATAGGTGTGACCATAAATATTCAATCCAGATTTCACCCTCGCTTGGTTCAAACGGTCTGCTTCAGGGAGTTCAGTTTTAAGATAACGTTCACTTCCTTGTTTCCAAATGAAAAAGTAATATAGACAAACGCAATACTTTGGATGATATAAGGAGAAAAAAATCGAAGAAGGGATATTGCACAAAGATATTAAGTAGACAAATAATATTTAGTTCTCCCGGGTACATCGTTTTAGAAAGGGGGTTTCGTGTTAGAGTGAATCTAAGTCGCGTTCCTCATTTACACAGCCACTATTTTAACTCTGTAAGTTTGATTATAATTTAACAATGAATATAAGTTAGTTGTAGTGCTTAGTAAGACCATTTTGAACCCAGCTTTTCATATTTCTTTCAGCATTCTTCTCTCCATCGTTTTTTGACGATGGAGAGCCCCTGCGACAGTACTAGTCCTGGTCAGTCTTCCTTTGAGAAAAGGGTCTCATCGATTTGGACCTTATATTATCACTACGAGGCCTTTTATGGTTCTGTCCAGTGTGTGCATGGGAATTCTTCTGAGAAACACCAAAATCTTTACGAGACCTTACGCCCCCTCTGAATTGTGGCGCGACTTGTCTCGAACCTCGTTTATCCCGTAAATGACCTGGTTTCCGAAAGTTCCTATCTACAATTCGTTCGGCGCAATCTACCACAGAAGCTTTTGCTTTGTCAATAGCGCGAAAGCTTTCCCGAATAGCCTCCCTATCCTCACTGGTTACGAGCGGGTAGTGCTGCAAATCTGCCTCATAGACTATAATAAAAACCGGATATTCATTTATAAAAAAGAGTACTCGTAGCGCCTCGTTGAGAGTATCCCTGGGGTTTAAGCGAAAATATTTTTCTTCGTTTCCCAGACGCTCCGCTTTTGCCAAAATAGCCCAACTGTCAGCTGATAAAAAACTATTCACCTTTTCATGGCTGCCAATGTGCTGTTCAAGCAATTCAATTGAACCAAAGGGAACCGATGGCACGAATGGTTTCTCTTCGACAAGCTTCTTACTAACATTCTCGGATACTTTAAGAGCATTTGCGAAGGAATCTTGTAGCGGTTCCTCATGTGTTGGAGGTTCTGTGGCTGTAAAAGACGAAAGGCAGCCTGCACTTTGCTCAGTATCACACACGTCGACCGGTGCTGTTGACGTCAGCCTCGGAGACGCGTCCGAGTTGCACGTTTGAGGTTTGCTATTGGGATCCGTGTCCTCCTCAGCAGGGCTGTGACCCACGTATCTGGAGACTTTGTTGTATTTCCTATTGATATGGAAACAAGGCAACGAGGGGTTGATAGACCAGCAGTACTCCAACACGTCCCCTAACTTATGCCGCTCGTTTGCCCAATCGGTTGAGACTGTGAAGGACTCCCTATGATTCGCGGATGCCTCGTCAGTTTCGTCCGTGTGCTTCGGGCAAAAAATGAACTTACACTTCCACGTAACAGTCTTGTTGCAGCGATCGTAACGGCTAGTATTTTCATCACGCTTTTGCATCCCCTCGGACATGATTTGGCAAATAACTCCTCTTTTACCTGCCTCCTCGCGCAGTGTGCGTAAATTTGGGGGAAGGGTGTGAAATTTATAGTGAGGCACATTAGGCATGCTAAAGGAGCGTTCAGCATTGTCAATAATTCGTTTGCAGTTCTCCAAAAAACGATAGTCTCGCTGCATCTGGAGACTAGTGTAGTCACCGAGACCCACATACCTAGTGACGGTGGGTGTGCCAGAGCAGTTATAATGTTTTTTGTGCTCATTAACGCAATAAAGAGAACAAGTATATCGATCGCACTCAGGACACGTGTACTTGGCCATCACTGAACTGCAAATACAACACTCTTTCTTCAGATCCAACTCGTTGGTTGGCGTAGACGGCGCGTCATTAGGACTTGTAGCAGAGTCCATATCTATAATTGACTTTCTTTCTGTGGCCTCAGTAGGATGAGTGCGATCCGATTCGTCAAAAGCATACTCCAAAGAGTTAATCTCAGTATGCTCCATCATACTATGTGCACTCGGACACAGTGAACCCGCGATAGACTTGTAGTCGCGTGCTTTACCACGATAAACCTTACGGTTTTCGAGGTCCTAATATATATCGTATTGACTTAATATTAGTAATTTTATGTGTGATGTTGTTATTAAGCTACTTTTAAAAAAATATTCAATTCGTTTCGTTTGACACAATTTTACAGTGGCATGTGCCTTTTGTTTTACCTTTATGCATGCATTGAGTATCAAAGCAGTAAGTAAATAATAAAAGAAAATAGATTAAAAGTGGTGACAACACCCTCCAGACAAATCCAAAACATTATTTTTATTCTTTCAATAAACTTTGAAGAACATCAATAGACTAAATATAGAAATATGCTCCTGTTTTTACCAAGCCCATATGGGATAGAATACCATACATGGCGTGCTTGCAGCTTAACACATACTTTTGGGGTGAATAAAATGGTCTTGAATCAAAGTACCTTTGATTAGAGTTATTTTATCACCTACAATGCTGTAGATATAGTTTGAACTCAATGTGTAAGTAATATACATCACCAATACATGAGCCTCAACAGTAGAAGGAGTTTATAGCAGGATTAGCACTCAAGAAAATTAGAAAGCTTCAGAAGTTCTAATGCGCAACTGGAGGGAACCTCTAACTCGGGTCGTTTGGCATTAGTATTTCCTTCATATTTGTGTTTATGGTAGAGATAAGAAAGAAGTATGTCAACAGCCAAGGTAGAAGCTTTAGGGAAGCTAATCATTATCCTAATCCCATTTGTTGTGCGATCTCCCTCGGGAGCTCTTTGGTCTTTACTGTCAAAAACTGCTCGATGTGGTAAATGATTGGATGCAAAGCTTGACGGATCAAAATCGATCCAGACATTTTCTGTGCGCAACGGTGCCTTTTTAATCAAGGCTCTCCTAAGAAATGGAGACATTTGCAGACACTCTTGGTGTGCTATAAACATGGAATTATTACCAGTAGATACAAACGCGAATTCTAAGGGATCAATAGGAACAGTGTCGATATGCGTGGGCGGTAAAATCTTCTTTTGCATAGCATTAAAAGGTTGGCCACTCATCTTCAGGCAGTGAATACTGGAGAGGGGGGAAGGGGGGAGGGGGGGATTTACCTTATCTTTTCTGCGCCTACTTAGAATAAATGTATATGATATTTGCCTTTGAAAGACTGCAGGGTTGTATGTGCAAACTTTTGTCTGGTACACGTTCTTTAATCAAAATTAAATAGTAATAAAATGAAATTTTTTGTACAGTCAACATATAAAAAAATAAAATGAAGATTGGCGTTCTTTTTTTTATCTCAAGCGCTATTCGTGTGCAGCGATCCAAATAGATGCCTAAATTAAAAATAATTGATGATATAATGATTATTTCGCCGCAAATGTATTAGATATTTATGCCTAATGTGAGAAAATTAGCACAAGCTTTAATAGAGATCACATGGAAAAACAGAAGGTCGAACCTACAGACCCTTTATTGTCCCTCTATTTTTCTCTCTTCCCTCCCGTTCATGTTCGTTTGTCTGCAACATCCACGCTGGGGAGTACTCTCCTTCACTTGTTAATAACTTCGAATTCTTCTGTGTAGAACGGCAATCACCAAGGGATGTGTAGCCGCAAGAATATAATACGCAAAATGGAACACTCGCTGACAATATATAATTCCAAACGTCACCATATGACCAGTTCAGGATTGGATACACACGCAGCATGCTTGGCCATCCTTCAGAATTGAGTTCCCATGGATACGGCGGCGGTTCAGAGAGATCGTCCTTTCGGGTTCCCATAAAAAATATTTTAACCTTAAACTGACGTTTGACGCTCCACATGCCTTGTATCATTCCATCTCGTGAGTCGATTTTGTGTAATTTGACCCCCTGTAAACGCTCTTTGAAGTACTTGCTTCGAAACTGTGTCATTTCAAGAAATTCAGCGTCCGGGTTTTCCAAAAAAAAAAAAGTAATATTCTTTAGTGTCTCTAGTCCAAGCACTTCACGAAGAAGCTCAACCACCACTACACAATCCTTTCCACCATTGAAAGACACAGCAATATCCTGAAGCGGTATTAATTTACATGTGTGGAGGATGATTTCCTTTGCATCAGTGATCAGGTCATTAGTAAATCCGGAAAAAGTGCGTTGAAGCTGATCAGCCACATTCAAGAAGTCGTAGCTAAGTGACATACTAACGCTTATTTAGGAAAATATTACAAAGTAAGTAATTTTACCTATCAATGGTTCTTAAGTGAAAATAAATTAATGGTCAGACAATCACTCTAAGAGGGCAATTTGTAAGTAAGCTTCACTAATATCTATCGACCTATCTATATAATGATAGATAATCTGATATTAATATAAAAAACGAATACTACAAAATAAAATAAATGAAAGAAGAGAATTAATAGTAGTAAGGAAATGGTTTTAGGAATTCACGACTATTAAATTTTAGATTAGAAGCTGAATAAAGAAGTGCATTTGTTTAATACACCAAAGTACGTGAAAGCACAGCTTTGTAGAACCTAACACTCTCATAGCACACTGGGGTAGCAAAGTAAAAGAATTTGGCAGTGAAAAGATATACCATCATGATATTTTTGTCGGGAAAATCTCTTCAGCATCGCATTTTTTGGCAAAATAAAGAGCAAAAAGGGTATGCAAATCTATGATAAAGTATGTATTAATAAACTAAAGCTATCAGTCCCCTAAAAGCGGCATGGTACATCTAAAAAAGGATGGAACAAAGAAAATAAACATTGTTATCATTTATTTTCTCATCAGCTCTCTCCATATAAACATGTGTTGCGTGGATGCAGTGCCCCTCTTGGTCTTCCCTTTATTTTTTGTGAGCCCTTAGATGCTCATTAATCCCTCCTACTTACACAGTGTGAAGGGTCTTAGGAGTAACTCAGCAAAAAGTGATGAAGGAAGCGGTACCAAGCTACTGTAGGAAATCTCCCACATCCTCGGGGCTAGTTCAGTCCCATCCTGCGTAACTGAGCTAATGTGTGCGATGAGGCAGCTCGCGACAAATTCATCCCAATGCTGAAGTCCATTATCAACAAATAATTTCACGGAATTTTTAAAAGAATTGTTTTTTGCTTTGTTGATACCTTTGGCTGGACTCATCCAACGAGTGACACAGAATGTTGACAAATAAAGTGTATCCACTCCAAAGGATTGCAATAGTTGGCAGAGGTTGCAAGTGTCATACGCCATCACTCCCCGAGCGACAGACACTGCGCGCTCTTGTTTATCAAGAAAATGAAGCCACTCCGTAAGACTGCGTTTACGGAGTAAAAGAGAAACATGTTCGGGAGTAGGCACTTTATCCATTCCGCTACAGGCCTGCACCCATAATGATATAAACTCAACTAAGGTGTTCTCGTGCATCTTAACGTTGGACTCGTGCGAAAATGCCTTTTCAATTACCAAAAGTGCGTAGTCAGTGTTCACCGTCATTTGAAGGGGTTGCAACTGAGTAGAAAAGGGCTTCCTATATGCAAAAGGTTGAAAAGTTTGTACGGCGTCCACTGTTAAGTTCGCGTTGAAGCCATTCAAAAGGATAGGAAGTAAACGTTTACGACCTTTGCCAGAAGTAAGGAAACGTCCCACGATAAAAAGCGGGTCAATGCCGGCGCGCTGCTGGAAAACATCACATAACTGAGTCAGTCTTTGGTGAGCAGGAGACCCACTGTGCCATAGGGCCTCCTCGCACTGTGAAGAGAAGAACAATGCAAGCGAAACTAGGCAAAGCAAAAATAGACGTGTGTCGTCTGTGGACACTGAATTATTAGTGGTTACAAAGGAATCTAAAAATGCATTTAAACACGTATTCATGAAAAGGGGGAATATGGTATCCGTAGTGTCGCTGCATTTTCTATGAGCAATATCTTTTCCATCAAGAGAAATAAGATTCAAGAACAAAAACACCCTTATATGGAAGAAAGCTTTCAAATAGTCGGAATTCTTGCATATATTTTGTTCCAGGGGACTTTTCACGAATTGAAAATCAGATGGAACCTCGAGACCACCCGGTGGCAAGAAAAAAAATCTCAAGAGATCACCGTTGCGTGGCAACCCAAAGTAGTGCTCACAACACCTCCTCGAAGCTTTTAAAAGCTTCTCCAGAATAGAAGGGTGTGTTGACCATCGTGAAATAAGTGTAAATATACTCGTGTCGAATTGAGGTGGAAACTTTGCTTCTTCAGCAACAGAAGATAACCCAATAATATGGTGCAAAAGCATGTCCCCATCCACACAACTCACAGCATCCACATGCTGCATGAAGTACCCGCGGATGTGAAACCATCCATCCAGGTCTCGAGAGATAGAAACCAAATGACCCAGCGTGAATACAGGAGAACTTACTGCACCTCGACCAATCAAAAGCGTGGGCAGAACATGGTCCAAAACACTCCTCCAGTGTCTGGAGAGAACCGACTGCCAAAAAGACCTCGCCGATTCAGAAACTGCGCGTGAGTCTACATTTTTCGTCACATTTACCAACATCAAAAGCGGTTTACAGGTAGCATCAGCGCATAGCTTAACACTTCTTACAGAATGTAAAAGACACTCCGCAAGAGAAAGAAGCCAACATACCCTACTTTCAGTGTCCTCCTGTTGATTTACCTTGTTGTTGCACAGTAGTGACTGAATAATCGAAATAATAAATCGAATGTAGTACCAAAGCTTAGTCGGAGACAAGAGGTACGCACAAGAGCTAATGGTAAACTTGTAGGGAGATTGGACAGAAGGGGGGACGACTGGAACTTCTATGATTCTTCTAATAAATTCGCTTAGCAACTCTCTTAAATTTTCGCAACAATTCTCGCGTGCAGCAGTGCAAAGCACTGTACCGTCCCTTCTACATGACGATGGCAGCAAAATAGGTAAAAAGTAAGCAACTAAGGAAAGAGCATACTGGTTGGGAAATGCTGCCTGTAGCTGAACTAGAGTCATATGACAGCCTTGAGTGCTCAAAAGTTGTTCCTTCACTAGGCGTTCAAACGTGGGCCGTCGACTCCAATTCCGCACCCAACGTGCACTAGGATTCACTTGAGAAATAAATTCCAATTGAGGAAGTACTACATTGTTCAGGAACGATGAAAAGAGTACCCCCACTTCATCGTCCAAAAGTCCCAGCCAATTCTCAGGAAGCTCATCGATGCATCTTAGAATGCAGGAGAAAAAAAAGTCAAACCATGAGGATGTCATCTGTTGTTCTTTCACCTTCTGCACACTTCGAGGAATGTCAGAAAGCATTTGCATAAGAAGTGCCCCACGTTGTTGAGGACCAGCCAGGCGAAAGTAACGCAGCGCAACCTTTGAACCCTCCTTCGGGCTGTCTTTTGCGACCGCGATGAGGACACCGATGAATCGGTGCCACTTATTTAACTGTAATAACACCTCAGGGCACCGATCCAGCAATGTGCTGACATGAGCAAGAAGAGTGGAGCCGTCGTACTTCCTTATCCCACTCCACCTACGATTCAGTTCTGAACTTCCCAACGATAAAGAGTCTTTTGTGGAGCATAATCTATCTTGGGTAATCGAAGCACTTTTCTTCCTCGAGGAGTCCTTTAGAGCGTCTTCTAGAACTTTCAAAGAGTTCAGGTAAGAAGGAAAATGACTGCTCACTCCCTCATTCGCTACCTCCATGGTGAGGTCTTCGCCAAAAGACAGCACATTCACGTTATTCACCTCCATGTTGTTGGTAAACGAATTATCATAAGGAGGTACAGTTGAAAGCTTATGTGAAGCGAAGAATACTTCTCGGAAACTACCTTTCAACCCTCTCCAATCCTCCCTGCTCAACAACTCTTCCAGAAGTCGCATCTGCAGCTCTGGTGGGCTGCACTGTTTGCACAGATTAGCCGCTTTATTGCCACTTTGAGTGAGACACTGTTGAATACGCTCGGCGACGGATGCTTTCAGAGACTTAATAGCAAATATTTCATCGAAATCCGGGCACAAGGTGGAAAGGTTGGCTACTAGTGAACGTGTTGTTATATTTGAACATACCTTAGAAGCCTCACGAATATGTTTATCCAGGCTCATCCCGTAGCTAGTATAACTCGAAGCATAAAACCAAACGATACAAAATGTGATAAGTTCAAAATTTTACTTCAGTCCTAGAAATTGCCATTACTTCAATGTAGAAAATTTTTTGACAATGTACTCCATAGTCAAATGAAAAAGGGTTAAAATTTAAAAAATGGAAAGGTTAGGTAACGTTAGAAGATATAGAAGAGGAAAGATAAATTTACTTACATTAATTCTTTAAAATAGAATTAATGTAATCATAGGAGTAAACATATAAAAATACACGCTAATAGATATTTAGATAAATAAATAGATAAATATAGAGGGATAGAGAGAATAATAATAATAAATACTAATACTAAGAAATAGTGCTGAGTCTTCAACACCCTTACAGTTTTACTATACTACAAATTCCACTAAAAAGTATTTTCCTTCTATAGAATAGTCATTTAAAAGAAAAATATGTTAGCAGACAAAAAAAACGCTCTAAAGAGTACCACGCAAAAAATGAGGATGGGAGAAAAAATACAAAACAGCCTTCATCTAATTACAATTCCTACTACAAGAGATTCAGAAGGTATTAATGATCTCTTCAGTCACGTATAAAAGTGAGAAGTAAAATTATTTTAATTTTCCTTCCTATTGGCTAAGGCATCAAGAGGCCCACGATAAATGTACTTTAATTCGGGACGTGCTTTAATAAGTGGTATATTATCATTCGTTGGAACCTCGTAAAAGTTGGCACTTTCCACAAACTTATCGCGTAAAGGTGTTGCCGTAAGAAAATACGGATTCTTCCGTGGTGGATAATCGGTTTTGGTATTAAAAGATGTCTCCCATGCTGGAATCCAGCACGCTGAAAAGAGATTCCAGTTATCACCAGGGTGAATTCCATAAACATGGTAGTCAAAGCGCCGGCACCATTCCTTTTTATAAGCGGTATATCTCTCCCATATTTCCTTTTTCTTTTCCAGCCGCTCTTTGTCTTCTAACACACCGTACTTACGGCACTCATAATCGTTGGGTAAAAACCCAGAAAGACGGAACATGCTGCGGTAGCAGAAGGCAATCTCAGAAAGTAAAAATGAACAACAAATAAGACCCTTATTAACCAAAAATGACGTTTTGGTGGTGGATCTAGATGCTTTTGAACGAACCCAAAAAGCGTAGCCGTAGCTCACAGCTACAGAAATGAGGTGCTCGTACCATCGAATACCCATCGTGCAATCCACAAAGTTAGTCCTATAGTCCACAACAGGGTACGGTGTCCCCAAAATGTGGTAAGCAAGATTAAAATTGGTGAAATCAGAGTTAATAATCGTTTTGTAAACGGCGTCACGTCGTTCAATAGATTGTGTCGTTCGCCATAGCTGAAAGGACTTCCATGCAAGCTTCTCCTGGTCAGTTAGCTCACGATCTGTGCTAGGAGCAAACCGCCGGTGTACATTAGCAACAAAGATAGGCTTACCTTCAGCATTCAACTTATCTACTTCAAGTTGTTCAACAGTAGTCATCTAATCTACCCCTTTTTACAGGAGAGGAATAGAATACACACACTAACAGAGAAAATAAAATAGGAATAAGATTCTATTGATAGTAACTATGTATCAACTAAGGTATCTACGAGATGTTTGTATGCAAAGTTCACCGTTTATTTTTCATTTTTAATTATATAAGAAAAAATGTACTCATAGATTCCGATGTGAAATTAAGTCCTCAGAAAAGTATATATACTTACATGAGTTTTATTTTGTTGACATAAGGGATATATTATCATGTTAAATAAAATTTTGTATTAGGAATATCCCTGATTGCTCGATGATCTTGTATCAAAGCCATGACAGAAAGAGTTACATTATTACTTGAAACTCCAGTTTTTTTTTCAATTTGCATCAGTTTTTTTTATTATAATTTAAGTAGTCTCGTCACTAACATCGTTAAGATATTTTTTTATAACACAAACGCAAATTTTCAGAAAATTTTCAAATCTATAAACTCACCTTAAAGAACTCCCTTATCGAAAAAAGGAAGTGATAAGTCAATGGAAAAATATAAATTCTATAGAAAAATATATTTTTACTCACTTATAATGGTAAAATTAATAAACAAACACCAAAAATAAAGTATTAGTAAAATTAGATGTATTTCCAAGAAACCTACTAACATCACCTGATGTATTTCCTCTTAAGAGAGCATTCATGGTTCATTACGCAATATTAAAAAATTGATGCGCAAAATGAAAATTTTAACATTTAAATGAGTTCATGGCTGCATAAGCATGAGCCTTTTCTTGATTGATTTTAGAACGACTCCACTTCTTTGCCTGTCCCATCAATTCGGACACGCGAGGAATTGCCGCCTCAGCAGTCTTTACATTCACAAATGACATTCGGGTTCGCCTGGATATGAAGTCCACGACGTGCTCGCAGTGCTCTTTTTCTGCCGACCACAGTACCTCAGCCTCAATCACTGGGCATCCTTCCACCAGTCGTTTGAGGTACTTGTTATTGTCCTTATGTGCTAGAGCAGATATTTCGCTGTAGGAATCACCATAATTTCCCCTCCAATGCTTATGAACGTCCTGAGGGATATCATCCACCGCCGCGGCGGGAACACTGTTGAAATTGCGAGAACCATACAACACCATACTGCTAGTACAGCATGGCTTAAATAATTTATTCCCCTTCATGATGGTATCACGTAAGGTGTCAACAGTTTGCTCAGCAATCTTGCGGTATGTCGTCCATTTGCCCCCAGTCACAGTCACCGTGAGTTTATCCGGATTTACTGTTATGACGTGTTCGCGAACCATATTTTCAGTACTCTCATTCCCTTTCCCGTGGCGATTAAGCTTCGCCAATGGCCGAATGCCGGACCAAGTAGATAAAACAGCTTCCTGAGGGATGTCACCAAAAAATGATCTTGCATTTTTCAAAATAAAATCGACCTCCTTTCTTTTAGGCTTCGGGTCATGTGTAATAACGGTTTTCTCATCAGTGGTTCCCATGAGGCAGCCCCCAAGCCATGGGATCGTGAAGATGACACGTCCATCGGAAGATGGAAACACCATAGCCTCGTGGTTACGGGGACAATATCGTTTCTCAACGACAATGTGCGCTCCCGACGAAGGGACATTCTCAACGGTACTCTCACCTCCAGAAAGCTTTTCAACCTCACTGGCAAATGGGCCAGTAGAATTAATGATGGACTTGGAATATATAGTCAGTTCCTCATTATTCAAGCAGTCCTTCACAGTTAAACGCATAAGCTTCTTCCCGGACACATCCCTTACCGCTTCCGATTTCTTTACTTCAGTGTAATTAACAGTTGCGGCGCCGTACAATGCTGCGGTCATGGCCACAGAGAAACACAAGCGGGCGTCATTCATCTGTCCATCATAATAACGCACTGCTCCGAGAAGAGGCTTGTTTTTGTCATTTATCTTGCGCAAATTAGGGCAGAGAGACATAGTTTTGTGTGACGTTAGATATCCTGAGTAAGCGATTGTGCCGCCGTGGAGGGCTGCAATGAAATCATAGAGCTTTGCGCCTCCCCAGTAGGTGACAACCTCATAGGGAGAGTAGCACGGAATGAGAGTTGCAAGTCCGTGACAAAGGTGCGGCGCTTGGTGAATCATAATGCTGCGCTCACTGAGTGCCTCAGCTACCAAATTCATCTGCATTAAATCACACTGGAAAACTGCTTTTTCTAAGTAGCGAATGCCACCATGAATAAGCTTTGTGCTCCGACTGCTTGTCTCACTGGCGTAGTCACCCATCTCTACAAGACCCACGGAAAGACCGCGGGTAACCGCGTCCAGTGCCACGCCGGTACCAATGGAACCCCCACCAATTACCATCAGATCCAAGGGATTTTCTGGCGACTCGTGCACTTTTAAATTTTGAATGCACTCATTTCGAAGAGGAAGCGAGTTGTATACAAAAGGTGGGATTTTTTTTGTATCGAATTTACGCCGAGTCCATGATGGGTTTGTATAAGTACTACCCATGGCTACAGCAAACAGGATAACACCGCCACCTGCAATTAACCTGGCTGTAGAGGCCATTTCTGGATATATGACCTTTATAGTAATAAATAATATAGGAGAACTCTTAAAATAAGATCTTTTCTTCAAAAATAGATAACTATGATAGACAATGTTTGGGAGTATAAAATAATAATGTCGAATTAAAAAGAATACATACATTTACTTGGATGTAGACACGTATTTGGCAGTTCAATGAAAGGATACCAGAGCACTTTTACAAGCCACAGGACCGGATACACACATTATGTGTACATCATAATAGAAATTACTAAAAAGCGAGAATCAGTATGGCGGATGAAAATAATGAAAGTTTAGAAGTCAAAAAAATTTTTACTCACTATATATATATATTTATTTATCAAGTGAATCTTTTTCCTCATTAAATGTTCATAGTATATGAAAAAGAATAATATCCACTTCCTTAATAATATAGAACGTACTTTAAAAATAAAATTTCATTTAAAATATGTTTTCATTTCAAGCGATAAATATCAAGTGGCAGCCTTGATCGTTTGAAAACTCAGAGCACCCTTGGGAGGAATACATAATGATACAATCTTTATGAAGTAACGAAGCCAATATATACATGTTCCGCATGGTTTGCATCACCATAAAAATCATGACAAGGGCTATAGAAAGTAAAAACGTGCGCTGTAATTATCAGTTATAGACAACTTGCAATTAAATCGGAATGTTCCAACTGTCTGCTTTTTTATTCATAATCAGAAAAGGACTCAGTTTGAATTGAAATCTGTGAATACTGTTTGCGTAGAACACAACTCATAATGTCCATTCAGTTATCTTTGAATTTTTTAGACGTCGCACCACAATGTGAAATCATTGAACTGCATCCATATATCATCTAAACACACCCTCATCGTTACAGTCATCTCATATCCTATAGCAGCAGCTATGAAGCACTTTCATTAAGTAAATCCGGATGCCTCATTTTTGCTGATATTCTTTTCCAGAGCATCCTATTCATAACCAATAGAAAAAAACAACATAAGGAAAGGTTTTAGACTATTATAACATCATATGTAGGTCACTTCCTGTGCTGATTATTATTATTATTAAATAAAAATCAGGTTTGTCATAACTTGACAATATATTTTACCCCCAAAAAAATGTGGGGAAATATTTTATTAGTAAAGGTAGGAATACCATCGAAAGGGAAGGAAAAAGCAAAAAGGGATGTTAAAGAAATATTCAGAAACTACAGATATAATTTCCTCAGCGTAAGGTTTATACAATCCTAGAAATAGCAATTAGAGCTAATATCATTGCTGCATGTTTGATTGTACATTCAAATAAATGAAAATTATACAAGGCAAACTGACGTCTTATCACTAATTCCTGGTATATAGCTCTCTAGCATCGATGGTGGTGGGAAAATAGTATGCAAAAGGTTGTAAAATAATTTAAAGCGGTGTTTGACAGTTCCTGTCGAATTCTTCCTCTGCATTTCACGTCTAGTTGTAGATGAACAAACTAAATATAAATACAACAAGGCCATAGCTCCCAGTGTCATAACCAATGAAATGTTGAAGACAAATAAAATAATAGCCCCAAAATGTTCTCCATCCATGCTAATTGGATTTGATTTATCATTTGAATTACTATGTAAACTATGATTGCCTTTAGCCTCGTCCTTCGCACCCGAAGCTAAGGGATGGGTCATCGATTGGTCTTCTTGATGTGGGAAAATGATATTGTCGAGTAAAAAACGGATAACCCAGAATAATCCAATTACTGAAGCCAGTGCAACCGATCCCAAATAAAGGGCAAACCAACGAAGGCTTCGGATACCAACACAACAACCAATCACTTTACAGTGATGGTCGTGCTCTAAAACACAGACATCACACACATAGCAGTGCGAGGTACGTGGAGGACGACGTATGCCACAAACCCGACAATAGACCAATGACAACTCCTTGTCAAGGGGATCTTCCTCATTAGGATTTAGACGCGGATATACACCGGGATCAGTGCACGTCAAGATAAAAGATGTCAGAAAGGCAATACACAACAATATGATCAGAACGATCAATTCTATAGTACCTATGTCATTCCATAAGATTCCAATGTTAAACCCCGCGAGCAATAAGGTGATAGCCGTGGGAACGCAAATTAGAAAGTAGTCTGGGCTAAAGTAGAAGGTGATGCCGCAAAGCCTTTTTCGAGTTATTTTTCCAAGAGCCGCCTGAGACGTGTTGCGTCGTGTGATGTAATTGACATAGTTGTCGGATTGGATAGGCAATTGATATGAACTGGAAGGCAGCACAACCTCTGTACTTGGGGTTGAGGAAGTATTAGAAGTTGTCAACTGCTTGATAGTTTGCGCACGAAACATTTACTTTTAATAAATTTGCTAGACTGTAATATTTTTCACAATTATTTACCTCAAGAGATATGAAATAGTTGAAAAGTCCTTCTAAAAATTTTCAACTATCCTCGTTGGTTTATTTTCAAAAAAATGCTAGGTTCTAAAAACACGCAAATGGAAGAAAGAGTGTTTCACTATAATATGTAAAAAGGGAACCCCATAACAGCGTGACAGGGGCTCAGAAATCAAAAACTATTAAGCAAGTGTCACATAGAAATTAGAGTGCACACACTTGCCTTCAGGTTTATTTACTTTTCCTTTTTCAATACGGCATCCCAAATTAATAATTCAATTCATTTCTATTCAATGGTATCTCAGTGTATTTACTCTAGTAAATGATAAGATATAGTCAAGTGTGCTAATACAAATGTACAATAATTAGTACACAAGACAAATAAAATATAATATAACCCGCTAAACTAGCGGTAAAAATATCTATATGCATTTTTTTCATCTGATGTGCTCTCTGTAAAAAGGACAAAGGTACCGTAATGGAGTACCACCAGAAGATGGAGAAAAGGTATAATGCGTGAAGATTAAATCTCAAGACATTAGAGACCACTCTTAGAATATGGCTCCTCGCGAGTAGCATTGTACTTGGCTACAGCCTTCGTCCCTTCGCTCATGGCATGTTTAGCTATTTCTGGAGGAAGAAGAAGCCGAGCAGAGGTCTGAATCTCACGTGCAGTTAGTGTTTTGACCTTATTTATTTTTGCGACAAACACAGCCTCAGACTGGATCTTGTTGAACATATCCTCAATAAATGAAGACAGAACCCGCACAGAGGTTTTGCTCAGAGACCCGCGCTTAATAACCTGATGGAAGACGCGGTGAATATACAAGTCCCAATGCTGCCTCTTCTTGTGTGCTTTGCGCTTGTGACCAACACCAGGTTTGGCAACTTTCCCGGTAAAACGCTTCCCTTTACCCTTACCACCGAACGGAATCGGACGTTTTCCACCTTTAGTTGGGGGCATACTTACAGCTGTTCACTTTTTATCGTTCTCTTGGGATTATTGACAATAATTTAGATGAAACTTAGAGATCGTGTTATAGTTGCGTTCAGACTGTTTTATGCTGAAATTAGCGCTGCAGATGTGTTTGCCATATGCAACGTAAAGGAAGGAGAGATTTTAGAAAAGTGAATCCATTGCATAAATAAACTACTTAAAGGATTCGAACACATTGACAAACATATCTCGAGAACAAAATACACAAATGTACTGTTTTTTTAAGTTGGAAAAGGCAAAATAAGCCGTCAAGAAATAAAAATGCAATAACTATTATGATTATCGATAATATATAATTGCCATGTTGCTCAAGGTGATTTTTCTTTACCGACTGCAATCATTATTAGATGGACCGAGTAAAAAACACATCTCAGACCAAACTATCGCGAAAGCGACACTTTCTGTTGCAATTGTATTTTTCTTTAACATATTTGATGATAGTATCATTGCTTAACATGTGTGGAATCATTAAATCAATTTTGTTGCCGGGTACGAGGTGCTCGGTAGAAGTATCAAGGAGATATAATCCTTTGCATAAGATTCTGTTCATTTTACATAACACTACTTCACACTCCACCAATCTCCCAATCAGAAATTCATCATACAGAACAAACCTGCTCATGGTGCTTCAGAAACTGAGACCACTGGGCTGAAAAGGAGAGTATAGATTCTCGGAAGTAGACGTATTCCTCAGGCGTATTGTACACAAAGACGCTGATACGTGCATAAAGCCTTCCTTCCACAGATTTAATAGGCACCTCAATCTTATAGAAATCATGAAGCAAGTCTTGGGCGTGTCGGGCAGTGATCAATTTGTTTTGGAAAGTTTCGGGAAGCTCGACAAGGGACATAAACGGAGATCTCCGTGCGACCTTTCGAGTCCCAAAAGACTGAGTAAGCATGTCCACAACCGAAACGAGGAGGTTAGTACAGTGCTGACGAATACGATTGCAATCCTGGGATTCCCAAAAATCCACCAATGCTGGAATGCACAAACTGGCACCAAAATCACAGGTTCCGCTCCAGATGAATTTTGAATGAAACCCACCTGTCGCACCGTGCGAGCGCACCACGCTCTGAATCCTGTCAATGTCTTCTTGGCGGACCCACAAAACCCCAACCGATTTAGGCGATGAAAACCATTTGTGAAGGTTCGCGGTAAACACACTAGGCTGGGACTCTGGTCGGAGTGAACCGAAGTCAAGATCAACCTGAAGCGGCGCGTGAGCACCATCAACGATAATTTTATCCACCCCTTTCTTTCGCAGGGCGGGTATGATATGAGTGAAGATGGGAAAACAAAGAGCCGTTGTGGAGGTGATATAATCAAGGACCATCACTGTACATCCCGGGGGAAGCTGGCTACAAATTGCCTCCGTCAGGGCGTCGTCGTCTCCCATAACTTCCTCATCGTGAAGGTATTTTGAAAGAAGCACCTCGTGATGGGTCGCCCCAACCTCTTGACAGCGAAGCACTATCATATTGAACACCGCCAAATACTCCGTATCGATGTAGGCCACGACATCCCCCATTGTGATCAGCCCCATTCCACAATTCAAGCCAAATGTGGCATTCGGCACGATCACGAGTTGTGTGGGATGCGCCCGCATAAAACGCGCAATCCTGGAAATACTATAAATCAGGAGCTCAAAAAGCCTTCGGTCGATGAAGTCCACCACCTCGTCTTCGATTTCCCTTTCGTACCAGTGCTTGATAGCAATCGATCCACTCAATGCACTGCCAAATGCGCCATGGTTAAGAAAGACCACGCTGGGAGTTATTCCAAAGAATTTTTCACGAAATTCAAGACCCATCGGGCACATACCAATGGAATCGCTTTGAGGAGGGGATTGGCCGTTGGGGTCGATAGAAATGGATGGCTTAGAATCCTGATCCGCACTATAGGAGCCAACAGCGCATTTGCTTTCACCGTTTTGGTTCATATTATCAGGTAAATTCGATTCTTTTAGACATTCCATAAGATGAAAAGATGAGTCCGAAGCGTTCCTAGGTTGGTTTCGACCTGAAATCCCCTTTTCAGTGTCCTGAACGATCCCAGGATAAGCCCTACCAAGCCTCTTGAGCTCGTGGTTCGAAAGAATCTTTCGAGCAAACGATGGAAAAAACGACGGTGGTGTCTGGCACTCAACATCAAGTAAACGTATAAGATCGTCAACGTTTGGAGAGTGAAAAGACCCAAACCCTTCATAGTTTAATATTTTCTCGCTCAACTTCGCGGTCTTCGCGGCATTCAACTTCACCTGGAGCACGTCAGTTAGTGCGATATTTTCCCATCGAATGGGAAATGCAAACTTATTGTAGTGATCCTTCATTTAGAACCATGTCTAAATATATAGAATCGCAGCTAAGACACAAACAAAGAATTTTATTACCCTAGTTTAATTCTATAAGCAAGAAAAGAGAATGGAATTAAGAAATAGAAAGAAAAAAACTCATTCTAAAAATAATCCCAATGAATCCTTTGCATGAATTAGTTTAAAATATAATGTTATTATACATCAGTGGTACTTAAAAAGAAGAATTTTCAAAAAATGAAGGCATACAAACTACAATTTACGCAGGGAAAAAATCAGCGCACACGTAAACATTATATGCTAGAAGACGCAATAAAAAATATTTATTATTGTAAATAACGAGATAAAGATACGAGTTTCTCTGGGTGCTTAATTTACTAAAAGGAGTTTTGAGAAGGCGAATATAACCATAGAATCGAATGGTAAGCTTAGTTCTGTCAAAGCAGTCTCTTCAATTATCGAGACAACTAAAGAAACACACTACTGCAGAGGGATCCTTAATCTTTGAATCTTGAAATTTTTTGCGAAATTGGAAAATCAAAAAGCTATAGATGAATTAAAAAAAGGTGTAACATATGAATATACAATTCATCAGAGACCAATGTAAAAATAAAATTCAAGTTTAACAACCTGGACTGTAGTGCCGTCAATTGCGGTTCAATAGAACTTGAAAACTGAGTAATAAGTGTAAAAAAAACAATGGATTCCGAGGGTAGTGTATTGGTTTAATAAAAGGTGACATAGTCAATTGAATAGAGCCACTGCTACCCTAAGTTTTGTCGTGCTTACAGGTGTCAAAGCATTAAGTCTTAAAATTCTTTACTATCTGGTTTGTCCAGTGAAACTGTTATAAATGGAGATACTGGAGAGAAAGATGTAAAAAATGAAAAGTCGACTTAACCACAATGTGTCTCTTAACAATAATTACCTCATAGCATTACTAAGCTGCCTAGATAAAGTTCTATATGGTGATTCAGGTGTAAGTAAAAAAATGAAATCGATATAAAATATGACAAAAGTTCATGTTTTGAAAGGATAATAAATAAATAAATGATCCTTGAACATTCACCCTTGAGCCAGTAGGTTAACTTAAACACATCGCGAGGCAACTCCAAATGTAAGTTTCAAAAACAACATCAAAACAAACTTCTTTTCTTTTTTTAAATAAGAGGATACTCGAAAAAATTAGATTCGCATGATAAAAATTTCTTAAATAGTAATATTATGTCAGACTTTCAGTGCTTAAAAAGTGTAGAGACATATTCTAAGAAAAATCGATAGTATTTACAACAAAGTATTCAATATAGCATGGGCCCATAAATAAACGTTCTCCCCTATGAAGGGTCAAAAAAAAAGGCTTCTTGAACTATTAAAATATTAAAACGTTACAACAACAGACCAATGAAACGTTTCTATAAGGACACTATTTTAGCTGACAAATCACTAATAAGATCCGTTAATGAGCGCCGACTCATATTCCCGTAAGGTTTTAACGAAGCCCTCATTCGGATGTGCCGCGGGTCGTGCCTGTCGGATAATCGACATGGCCTGTTCGTATGAAATCCGCCTCTCCCGCATGAGGTAGGCCGCCGCGATGGCGACAGAACGGGACAAACCCGCAAAGCAATGTACCAGAACACCCTTTTTTGCTTTCCGAGCCTGGTCAATAAACCCGAAGGCCTCCTTAAAAATAAAGGAAATATTCTCCCCGGGAAAGTCGTCAAACAGAATGACTCGGTGGAACATCCCGGGCTCAATTTTCACATCCATATCCCGTCCGATAGTCAACACATATCTAATGCCACAATCGTGGTAAACCGAAGCCGTTTGAGCCGTGCGTAGCGAACCGATAAATAAAAAATCTATCACTTTGTCAGGGTAAATCTTGTTAAATGAAATCGATAGCCATGGCAGGTTTGAGGACCAATTTTCGGTCAAAATCTGCCGAACAATTTGTGGCCTATTATCTATTCTAAGCGATGTCGATTCACCATCCTCGCCGAAATTCCACATCCTCGCAAGTACGCAGTTAAGAAGATTTCCATATGGAAGCACTTTATTGAGCATTTCGTTATTTTGTCCAAGAAGGATCTCACTCAGAAATTTACAATGTTCAAAAAAAAATTGGAAACTGCCTCAGCTTGTTATTCTCCAAACCTACTCGCTCCAGTGAAGGCAAAATTTTTCGATCCGGATCGAGCCGTGGAAGTGTTGTTATATTATTTCCGTTAAGCATCAATATCTTAAGTTTGGGCAAATAAAATAGAGTATTCGGAAGGTGCTCTAATCTATTGGAATTGATGTTAAGACAACTCAAATGCGGGCAGTAAGAATTAATAAACATTTCGTGTGGTAACTCAACCAAATTATTTTGGGATAGATTAAGTAATGTAAGCGACTGTAAAGAAAGTCCAGAAGGCACAACTGTTAGATGAAGGGCCGAGAGGTCGCATTCGCCATAACTGCGGCTTCTCATGATTTCCCGAGAAAGTTCATCTTCGATATTTTGAGGCGAGGGGGGTTTGAGAGTCTTCTTTTTCTTTATGAGCACTCCTGCCGATTGATTGGCTCGTGAACAGCTGGAGTGTGTACTACTGAAAGTGTCGAAAGGTATATCACTGTTTGACAAACTACTCATCACAGAAATCGTGGAAGATTCATTGTCAATGCTTTCCTCTGAATTCAACATTGAAACCACTAATATGTAAAAAATATTCTTTGTAAACAAAATTTGTGGTGACAAAAAAAAAGCACAGAACCAAAATGTGCGAAAAAAAAAGGTCGAAGCGGGAAAGAAACGTTATCAAATAAGTTATAAGTATCCATATGCTAAATACAAAAAAACACGGTAGCTGGTCACAGTGAACTAAAAAACTAAAAGACAGAGCCAGTTAACATTAGAATACGTGACCTAATGGTTGAAGCTAAATGAAAATATAAATATATCTGTATTATGTAGTACCAAAAACGTATTGCACATAAAAAAATTATAAAATTCTAAAATTGATCCTTTTTTATAAACAAAATTTATATACAGTGTATGTAAATAAATATTTTAAAAAAATGCGAAAAAAAGATGTAGAATTACGAACACCTGAATGGAAATTCAAGTATATTTTCATTTATTAATAACATAATCATTTATTATTGTTGATTCCTCGTCGTATTGGTTTTAACCATCATGAAATTAATAAGGTGTACTGAATTTTATTTAATTTAATCATGACTTTCTCAAAGAATGGCTCCTTTTGTGCTAACCTTTAACAGAATCAACAGATGTGGGAAACCTGATGCCCAACACACTCAATAGGAAACCAAAAATTTTAAGTTGCCATCAGCACATGTTTTACACTTTAGTACTTTATATTGTTTTCGCTTAAAGACCAAGTCAACTAAGTAGGTAAAATAAAATATATTTATTTCCGTAGGTTCACTGTACTTTAAATGCTCAAAAAGGAAAAATAAAGTTATGATACAATCGACTCGAAGCTCGCAAACAGTTTGGAAGCACACTTGCTTTCGATGAAATATTTTTTTGGGGGGGGAGGAGGTGAAAAAAACTTAGCGGTTCATTAATAAACAAAATTAAATGAAGTGAAGAAAAATATATATAATATATTATCAATGTTTTGCGTTGATAATATTGTTGTCCCTTTTATTTGTGTCGATATTATGCATGGAACAAATGCCTAGCAAAAGTATAAATAAAATAAGTCATGTAAGTAGGAAATTCATCTAATATTACAAACTATATATATATAT